AACTTGATTGTCCATAGTCTCAATACTTCAAACCCCCAAAAACCTGAATTTTGAGGCAGATGTTCTGAGATACTGACCTTTTTACTACAGGTAATGGGGTAGGGACTGCAATACAACAGATGTGAATCAGCCATGGTCTCAGCCTTTGTGAAGTTCAAAGCTGGTAAGGTGCAGAAGGAGACAGCCCTGGTATGGGCCCCTTCTTGGTGCTCCCTCAGCACCTTTGCCTAGCTCCTACACTGGCACTTTCCATTCTGTTGCATATATGCTGTGTATTTTTGTGTCCTCCTGGAGAACAAACCCCGGAGCCAGACCGAATTGCTTGCTAGTTGTGTGATTGTGGGAGAGTCATTCCCGTTCTTTGTTCACTCAGTTTCTTCATCTTTATAATGTGCTGTAGTGAGAATTAAATGGTATACATGAAAAACCTTAGCACAGTGGTGGAACATAGTAGGATTTTAGAAATGTTAACTGTTTTCATTAATGATGGCAGAGCCCCTGGCCTGGGTCACTATTGATCCTGAGTGCAGGTCATAATGTCTAGCTCTTAGTAGGGGCTGAAAAATCATTTTTTGATGGGATAGATGAATGAGTGTTGAACAGCTACCCCACAATAGACCAATGTGATTCTTCCCCCCTGGGAGCTGAGGGAAGGGGCAGTGTACTTGGCCCAGAATGGACTGATGGTAGCCATCATTTATGAGCAGGGCTTGACGCATATCTTGACCTTTAGTAGGAGCAGGAGAAGGTGGCAAAAGGCTGTTCCCACCAACAGGCAACAGAGAATAGTGGCCGAGAGCACAGATTATAGCCAGGCTGCCTGGGTGTAAATCTTGTTCTTGATCTTGGGCAAGATGCTTTCCTTCTCTGTGGCTGAGATGAGAACAGTACCTCCTCATGCAGTTGTACTGAGAAAGACATGAGTGATTTTATTTAAAGCACATAAAGATGCAGCCTGTTTTTAAGTAAACAGCCCAGAAGTATGACACTGTGGAAGGCAAGTCATATGGTCAATGGGGCACGCAGCTGGACAGATAGCTTTGGAAACAGTTTATAGAGGTTTCTGAATGACATTCTGAATGAATCTGGAGTTTGTCAAGGAGGAACACAAAAAATCCCTTCCCCTCTGGCTGAAGCTCAGTGGTGGCTTCTCATTTAAACAGGGTCTGCACTCCCCTGTATGCCACAAGTTCTAATGCTCCCTGACCCAACACACTCCACTGCAGTGGTTCTGAACCAACACATCTGCATTTCTAACAAGTGTCCAGGTGTTGCTGCGGCTGCTGATCTAGGGACCACACTTTGAGAACCACTGCCATATTGTATGAGTTTGTTTTCCAGGGGATCCCCAAAAATGGGAATTATCTTTGGGAGGGCAAGTATTTTGTAGTAGAACCAGAATTTTATCTGAAAGTTTTGAGAAAACCATGTTAATGATTTGTGGAAGAAAGTTGTTGTAAACAGGTAGTGGGTTCTTCCACCATGACAGCACACCTGCCCATGCACACTGAGTGTTCAGTTTTGTTTTGTTTTGTTTTTTACTAAAAACAACATGGCCCCCACCCCTCACCCTCCCATTCAGTGGATCTTACCTGAAGCAACTTTTGTGGGGTTTGTTTCCCTGGATGAAAATAGCCCTCAAAGGGAAATGTTTTGCTAAGGTGGCAGAAGCAATAACAAGGCATCAAAATTGTTAAGTTTAAAAACTGTTTTGAGCAGTGGAAAAGTGTCTCGATAGAAGTATCACATCAAATGAAGATTACTTTAAAGGCAAGTTAAAACATCTGAGAATAAATACAGCATTTTTTATGAATAAATTTTGCTTTGGGGGGGTTCCCCCTTGTATCTTAGACACTAAGAAAGGTAATTAATAGTCACTTATCATCAAGCATGAGCTGTGGTTTCTTTCATGCTGGCATATTACATGCACATAATACCTCGTCCCTGGCCCTGGTGGATCTTGGGTTTGCAATTTATGGCATAATCAACCTAGAAGGGTGGTTTGTAAAAAGCACAAGAGGCAGAGGGGTCACAGGGAAAGGTCTGTGAATGGCTGAGTCTCAGACTAGAGCAGGCTTTTGTTACCTAAAGCTGTAGGTGTGTGAGTGAGCTCATTCCCAGGGATAATGTGCAGGGAGAAATGGGACAGGGGCAGAAAACAGAATGCAAGGGGGCACTGGTTCACCCTGCCATGAAGGAAGGTTGAAAGATTTGTAATTTCAAGGAAGAGTGTTCACAGAAGGAGGAAGAGGGCTGAGAGAGAAAGTTACCTGTAAGGAGTTATGACCTTATTAGCATTCAAGAGGATACTGTTAGCAAACATCTGAGGCTGAAGCTTAAAACATGAAACAGTAAGTTCTCAGTGAGCTCACCATTGGTGGGACAACAGGAAGCAAGTGTCCTGTGAGGCTTCCCATAGCAGGCCTGGTAACCTGCTGCTGTGTGAGGCTAAGCCTGTTGTGAGCAATTGTCTCTGAGCCTCTGGTGGCAAAGTTGTCCCTAGAGATTAGCATGGTGAATGTCACCCAACTCCTTTTTGTTTGTTTGTTTTTCATACCCTAGCATGTTAGGTAGAAATGTGCCGGTCTTGTAGAGGCAATGGCAGGAGCACTTAAGTCTGGATGGCTTTTTTTTGGAGTACTTGCTGGAGAAGGGTATCTGAGAAAGGAAAGGATGAAGCTGAAACTGAAAAAGTGGGCGAGTGACATCCTGTAGGCTGCCACAAGACCAAGCTAAGAGGTTTGCACTTGGTACAAACCAAGTGTGGCCAAGGGCGCCAAGCTGATCTCAAAGTGGGGAGAAGCGGTGTACTTTACATAGCTCCGTATCCCCAGGACCTCATGCTCAACTTGGCCCAAGTAGGCATACCACATGTGAGGTGGAGGGGAGTTAAAGAGTGAATTGGAGGTTTGAGGGATAAAGAATGATAAGCTAAGTAAAGCAACGTTTTAAGTGGAATGACTCCAGAAATCGTGGGGAGAGATTCGGTACTGGGGCCAGATGAACCTGCAATTACACTTCAAATCTGGTCCCCTGTTTTCATCCACTTTGTGTTGCTGTACCAAACACTACAGACTGAAATTTTGTAAGAAAGGAAAATGCACTTCTCAGAGTTCAAGAGGTTATAGTCTGTTTTCTAGCAATGGTCTTCTTGCTGTAGAAAGTGGAAGGGCAACAGCGTAAGAGAGAGGAGGCAGAGGGCTGAACTCATCTTTCTAGCAAAACCCACTTGCACAATAACTAACCAACTCCTAGGATCATGATATTAATCCACTCATGAGGTCACAGCCTTCACAACTTGATGGCCTCTCAGTGTTCTACCTCTCACCATTGCTGCCTTTGAAATTAAGGTTCCAACTCACAAACTTTGGGAGACATGTAAATCCTACTATCTTTCAAACGGGCAAGCCACTTAACCTCAGCAGTCACCAGCTTCCTTGATTGTAGAATGTGAATAATAATAATAATACCTCTTCCTTGGGTTGTGTTGAGAGTTCATGTCGAGCACAGAAGCTGGTATTCAGGCAAGATTGCTAGTGTTCTTGCTGAGTGCCTTCTCCTCGTATCTCCTCCAAGTCTCACAGCACTCTTTGAGCTTGTCAAGGCTGACCTGTTACCACCAGTCAGAGGCTAAGTGGGGCTGGGGCCCTTTTCTGGAGGCCCTTCCCCTCTTGGTCAACCCAGCTCTGTGATTTCCTCAAGTCCTTCCTCCTTCATTCAGTTCATGACATTTCTTCTCTGACTTTGTGTTGCACTTGAAAGTCTGAATCACGTAATCCAGAAAGGACTTGATTCGTTGGGGTAGTATGTACCTTTTATTTCCTTAGATTCTCAGTTCCTCGACAGCTGAAATGGTGGTTATTTCTTTTAAAAAATAACAAACATCATAGGTGTTGATAGGACAAACTTTCAATAGTACAGAGAGGTCAACAGTAAAAACTCAAATTGATCTAGGTCCATTCCCATCTCCCAGAGGTAGCCATTGCTAACAGCTTCTTGTCTATCTTTCCAGAAATAGTCAACGCTTAGAAATAATATAAAAATGAATTCCATATATGAATCATAGTTGATTATATTTTTACCATAAACAAACTATGACAAATACAAATCATTCATATATAGAGATTTATACAGAAAGATATATGGATGTGTAATCTGCCCTCCATATTTGTGGGTTATGTATCACTGGATTCAACAAAATATAGATTTAAAAAAATTGAAAAAAGACCGTATGGTTTCTTCTGTACTGAAGATGTACAGACTATTTTTTTCATTATTTCCTAAGCAATAAAGCATAACAACCATATACATAGCATTTAAATTGTATTAGGTATTACAAGTCATCTAAAGATGATTTAAAGAATGGGAGATTGTGCATAGGTTGTGTGCAAATACCACATTTTATCTATGTAAGTATGCCTGTGTGTATGTATGTATGTATGTTGATATCTGTGTATCTGTCTTCCAACTTATCTATCATCTTTCTGACCATTTCCACTCAAACACCATAATCTATGCCCACTCTTAACAGTGATAGTCACCAATGACAAAGACCTATTCCAGGCACTCCTGGAGTGGAGAAGAGGGCGGGTGGTTCACTGAAGACCTGCTATGTGCCAGCCACTAGGCTGAGTGCTTCACCTGGCACACTCGCCACACACTACTTAGTGGGCCCCAGGACCCCCATATGCACAAGAGGCTTAAAGATGTGCAGGGACCTGCCAAGGCCAAGAGCTCTAGTCCACTTTTGTGTGAATACAAAGCCCCACAGCTCTGGCCATGTCAGCACATACTCCACATGCTTCAGTTGCTGTGCAGACACCTCACCTTGCCCCACTTGGACTCTTGCTGGACAGTACGTGCTGTGCAGTATGTGCTGCCACACATGACTTCTCTAACTCAGGCTCTTCTCATTTTCCAGGCCTGCTCTAGCTCCTTGGACTGCTGTTGTGGACTGGGTGGTTTCCTCCCCTGGTGGTCAGCAGAAGGCTTCCTCAGTTATGCAGTCCCAAGCTGCCACAGCTGGGGGCTTCAAAGACCCCTTGATTTGGGCCAACAAAGTCCATTCCTTCCAGTTCCAACCTCGCCGTGGGAACATCAACTGGCGGAGCATTAGCGCCCTGGATGTGGACCGTGTTGCCCGGGAGCTAGATGTGGCCACTCTGCAGGCACATGTCACTGGCATCACCTTCTGCAACCTGGAGCAGGAGGTGTGCCTTCAGTGTGGGCAGGCAGTGGACCCAGCGCTGCTCAAGGTGCTGCGCCTGGCACAGCTCACCATTGAATACCTGTGGCATTGTCAGGATTGCCTGAGCACCAAGGTTGCCCAGCAGGAGGGGCAGCTGCAGGCCAGCTGGGACCAGCAGCAGCGTACCCAAGAGAGGATGGACTGCCAGTGTGACAAGTTAAAGAAGGTGCAGGTGAAGAGCCACCAGCGTGGAAAGATGATTAACACTCTGCGGCAGCTGCTAATGCAGAGAAAAACCCAAGGCCATCACCAGGTGAGGAATCTGCACTGGGCAGGGAGAGTGGGAGAGCTGTATGCTTTAAGCACTAGGCCACTGGGTCAGCACTGCCCTGGGTTATGAGACCGCTGTGGCCATTCTCCCTGGCTAGGACCCAGTTTTAAAGATACTGCTCATGACTGAAGTGACTGAGGGTGTCAGGAGGCTCTACTACATTTGTGTGTGTGTGTGTGTGTGTGTGTGTGTGTGTATTAAGGGTTGCTGTGTATATGTAATGAGTGTGAAGGTATATGTGACAAGTGTGGTGTGTGTGTGTGTGTGTGTGTGTGTCAATTCATGTGCAACAAGAGATTGGTGGAACCAGACCCATTCTCGAATAGTGATTCCATGATTCAACCAAGTCCTGGGTCATTATCCAGAGTAGCATTGGAACATTTCAACTTATTTCCATCGACAGTGTGAATTGGGGACATTTGTCTTTTAATAAGTTGTCAAGGTGGCTAGACCCTTTGTCAGGCTTTGAGGATGTAGGACCGTGTATACTGGTCCAGGTTTTCAGAAAATTTGCAGTTTGTGGATGGGTGGGTAACCTATTTCTAGTTACACTCTGACACCAAATGTGTGTTTTTCCCCTCAAACCAAACATTCTCCAACATCAACTGTTTGACCTTCAATGCACTTCAATTCTGAAACTTTCTACATGGAGTTAGTGTCAGATCCCACAAGTTGAGGGTTCAGTACCACTGGGCTAGCCACACTTCAAATGCCTGGGCTTCTTATGCTTGAAAGTCCGGGCTTTCTGTACTTCTGACTGATAGAATATAAATTGAGTTTCCACAACTTCATCCTTATGTTGAAAACATTGTTAGATTGGATCCCAGAAATCATAAACAGACACTTTAAATAAAGAACGAAACTCCTAATAGTCAGATGGAAGAGATTCAGAGGGAGAAAGGTAGGGCATAAAGAACTCAGAGTGTCCGTGCCCTTCCTGAGTGAGCCACCCTTCTCGCACCTCAGTGTGTCACCAATGTGGAAATTCTCTAAATTCCATCACTTAGGGTTTCACAGAGGCTCTACCATGCTGGCTTGGCTGAATAAATAATTGGTTATTGATTATTAAGTAAATATCCAATCCATTTCTCTTCCCTAAACAATGGAAGTTATGACTGAAAATTCCAATTCTCCAATTATACTTTGGTCTTTCTGGTGACCAGCCTCCATCCTGAAGTGATCTGGGGGCTGCCAGACACCAGTAATCTTATTAGCATGCAAAAGACACCATCTTAGTTCATGTTGTGTCCCTCTAAAAGAGATAACTGTTGCTGGGTTATTGATAAAGAAAAGATGTTTATTTAACTCAGAGTTCTGGTGGCTGGAAAAATCAAGAGTGGACATATGGTGTGGAACTCAGGCAGCTTCCACTCGTGGAGGAAGGCAAAGGGGAGCTGACGTGTGGAGGTCACATGGCAGGAGAAGAGACCAGAGAGAAAGAGAGAGCAGGGAGGTGCCAGGCCCCTTTTAAGAACACATTCTCTCAGGCACAAATAAGAAGAAGAATTCATTCACCCCTAAGACAGAGCAATTCTCTCTTCCTGAGAGATCTGCCCCCACAACTGAAAACCTCCCAAAGGCCCTCCTTCTAACATAGCCACACTGAGGATTAATTTTCAACATGAGATCTGGAGGGGACAAACGTTAAAACTATAGCAGACACTCTTGTCCCTTTGGAGAGTCCCAGGATCTCAGAAACTCTTGCGTCATGAACTGGGGTCTAAGACCAACTATTATTAAAAAGGTGCACCTCTCACCCCTGTCACTCAGGAAATTTTAAGTATTTTCAGAGTTTTTTTGCCAGGAACTAGAAACAAAAATCAAATATATATTCTTATTATATCACCATGCGTCAGAAAGAATCGTGATGATATAGTGTTGATTGATAAAATGATAAATGATACAAATGGTATGTTGTTTATGATTAAAAGAGCAAGAAGCTTTGTAGTAGTGAGTCACATGGTTACACCTATTTTCAAGGGAGACTGGGATGTAAACTGTGATTCTCATTGGTCCCCGGATCTCGATTCATATTACTAAGAAACGGAAAATGGGTATGGAGGAAATTGACAATTTCTGTCCCATTTGCCCATGTGTAAAGATAGCAAATAATCTGCACTGCAACTCTGATTTACTACCAATGGCAGTCCCTAGAGCTGTGTTGAGAAGACTTCTGAAGATTCACAGTGAAAAGGTATGATTGATTGATTGTATCTGAAAAGCTTTAGGAGAGGGATGTGGACTTGCAGAAGCAATGTATTTGCTAATCTCCTCCTCTTGTGGTTCTCAACCCTGGGGTGAGACTTACACATTAGCATATTTTTTAAAAGTTTATTATGGGAACTTTCAAATATATACAAAAGAAGAAAATAATAGCATGAACCTTCATCTACACACTATGCAGCTCCGCAGTCATCACCCCATGAAAAATGTTGCATCTGTTTCCCTACCCACTTTCCCTTACTCCTGGATTATTTTGAAGCATATTAGTCATAATATAATGCTATTTGAATATTTCAGTGTCTATCTCTAAAAGGCAAGGACTCTAACATGAACACCATCATCACACTGAAGAATCGGCAGAAATTTCTAGTATCATCAAATATCCAGTCAGTCTTCAGTTTCCCAGGGCCCTAGTAACATTTTAAATCCCCAGGAGGTTCTAATGGGCAGCTTGGGTTGACGTCACTGCCTTACTCAGTACACCTAAATCTTCACTTCTGAAGCATCCCAGGAGTCCTAAGGAAATGTGAGTTTTCATAAAGGGAAAATACAGACTGACTTAGGTGATCTAATCCTTCACTCCCCATTGCTCCCCTTCTGTGTAGTGTGACCTGTGTGACAAGGAGTTTGTCGATGTCACCTCTCTCCGGGGCCATATCCAGCGCAGGCATGCAGACATGGCTGAAAGTGGTGAGTCTGGACAGCAGTCTGGGACACTATTGGGACGGTGGAAGGTGCTGGGCTGGTCTTCAGTGGGTGGGGTCACAAATACCACCCAAACCTGACCTCAGAACCTCATCGTCCAGTTCAGGATGGGGTGATCTTACCATCCACCGTAGAGGTATTCCACGCAAGCTGGAAGGGTGCCTCACCATGGGGGGAAGGAAGGATTGAGAGCCGGATAGGTAGACTTCAGTCTTTGCTCTGGCCCTATCTATGATGTGACCTTGGTCAGTGCTTTCTTCTTGGTGTCTCAGTGACTTTCGTGGTGAATGGGGCTGTCAGCTGGAGTGACTCTGAAGTATTCTTACCTTCTAGTCTTCTGTGAACCTGTAATTCTCTGCTGCTAGTTATGAATAAGCTTAAATGTGTGTCAAAGGGCAATGAGATCAGTTCTTTGACTTTTCTATGAACTTGAGATTACCAATTTAATTTTACCATGTAAAATGAATAGCAAGGCTGTATTTTTTATAAAGATATTTGCATACTCTATATACACTTTTTGAGGTCCAACAATAAAAAAATTGATTATAGCATAAGAGAAATAGAATATACCATACACAAAAATTTTCCCTATTTTCCATCATTTTACTTTTTTCCCTTTTTGGAGTGTTTGCATTTTAAAGATGAGGGGTACGATTCATGTTTAGGTACATAAGTGGCCATTGTACAAGTGAGCTTTGAGCCACCCATCAGTCCTCACTTCGCCTGGTTTGGTACAGGTACTCTTATCAATGTTATCTGCCCCTCATTCACTTATAGTGACCTGCTACCGCCAATCTCTTTCATGCAGTATTATGATAAATGTTGAGGGTTCACTTATGAGTGAGAACATGTAAAACAGTTCTTTGTTTCTATGATAGATCACTGTGTATGACAGACTCTAAATCTATCCCAGTTCCTGCAGAGTTCACAATTGTGTCGTCCTTTATGTTTGTGTAATATTCCAATGTGTATATGCATCCAGTTCACTTTCAATGGGCAGCAAGGGTTGTTCTGTGCTTTTGCTATTGTGAATAGTGCTGCAATAAACGTGTGTGCAGGTATCTTTCTTGTATAATGATTTGAGTTCTTCCAGGTATAGTCCCAGAAAGTGGATTGCTGGGTCGTATGGAAGGTCAACTTTTAGATCTTTTAGAAATAGTAGCCGGCTCGGTAGCTCATCCTGTAATCACAGCACTTTGGGAGGAGAGAAGATTGCCTGAGCCCACGGGTTCGAGTCCAGCCCGGGCAACTAGGCAACACATCATCTCTACAATAAATCAAAAATTAGCCAGGCGTGGTAGCACGCACCTATAGTTCCAGCTACTTGGAAGGTTGAGGTGGAAGGATCACTGGTGCCCAGCAGGTTGACGCTGGGGTGGCTGTTAACGTGCCACTGCACTCCAGCCTGGGTGACAGAGTGAGACTCCAACTCAAAAAAAAAAAAAAAGAATTCACCCACACTGTTTTCCACAGAGGTTGTACTAGTTTACACTCCCACCAACTGTGTAGAAGCATTCCCTTCTCTCTGCATTTTCTCCAGTTTCTGTTTTTTTGGGTTTTTTTGTGGCGGGGGTGGGCAGGTGAGTTTTCAATGATGGCCATCCTGTCTGGAGTTAGGTGGTACCTCAGTGTAGTTTTGATTTGCATTTCTTTGATGATTAGTGAAGCTGAGCAATTTTTTCATGTATGTTGACTGCTTGTATGTCTATACACATATCTCTTGCCCACTTATTGAAGAAATTTATTTTAAAGATATGGGATACAATTCAGAATTAGGTATACAAATGGTCATTGTACAGGTAAAGTTTGGGCCTCCCTTTGGTCCCTGCTTTCCCTGGTTTTTGATCAGGTACCCTTAATAACATTATGTGCCGCCCCCTCGCTTCCCTGGCAGTTTCTGGCTACTGCCAATCCCTTTCTTATAGTATTATGGTAAATGTTCAGGGTTTGCTTATGAGTGAGAACATATGGTACTCAGTTCTTTGTTTCTGTAATAAATCACTGAGCATTATAGACTTTAAATCCATCCAAGTTGCTGCAAAGTTCATAAATTTTTCTTCTTTAAAGTTGCATAATATTCCATAGTGCATATGTACCACATTTTTTAAAATTCAGTCCAGTTTCGACGGGCTTCACAGTTGGTTCCATGTTTCTGCTATTGTAAATAGTGCTGCAATAAACATGCATGTACAGGTGTCTTTTTTGTCGAGTGATTTAAGTTTGTCTAGGTATATTCCCAGAAGGAAGATTGCTGGATCATATGGAAGGTCAATTTCTAGACATTTTTGGAATCGCCACACTGTTTTCCATAGAGGTTGAACTAATTTGCATTCCCACCAAAAGTTTAGAAGCATTCTTTTCTCCACATCCTTGCCAGCATCTGTTGTTTTTTGTTTTATTAATGGTGGCTATTCTTACTGGAACTAGGTGGTATCTCGGTATAGTTTTGATTGCATATCTCTAATGATTAGTGAAGCTGAGCATTTTTGCATGTGTCAATTGATTGCTTGTCTGTCTTCTTTTGAGAAGTGTCTATTCATGTCTTTTGCTCACTTTTTCATGGAGTTGTTTGTTTTTTTCCTTTTGTCACAATTGAGTTCCTTGTAGATCCTAGATGTTAGGCCTCTGTCAGATATGTACTTGGCAAAAATTTGTTTTCCATTCTGTGGGCTGTCTCCCCATTCTCCTGATTTTTTTTTTTTTTTTTTGCCTTGCAGAAGATTTTCAGTTTGATGAGGTCTCACTTGTCTATCTTATCTCTTATGGCATAGACTTTGGGGGTTTTGATCAGGAATTGGTTTTCTATTCCGATTTCCATAAGGATGTGTCTGCATTTTCTAAAATTCTTAAAGTTTGGAGTTTCCTATTTAGGTCTTTGATTCATTTGGCATTGATTTTTGTGTGTGATATAAATGGGGTCTCGTTTCATATTTCTGCATGTGATCAGTCAGTTTTCCCAGCACCATTTACTGAACAGGTTCTCCTCTCCCTGGTGGTTGTTGTTGGAGGCTTTGTTGACAATGTGTTGGTTTAGAAATTGAGGTTTTTCCTTCTAGGATCTCTATCCTGTTCTGTTGGTCTATTTGCCTGTTCTTGTACCAATACCGTGTTGTTTTGATTATTGTAGCCTTATAATAAAGTTGAAAGTCTGGAAATGTGATACCTCCCACTTTGTTTCTTTTACTAAGGATTGTTTTGACTATTCATTGTTGTTTACGTTTCCATATGAATTTCTGTGTTGTTGTTTCCAAGTCAGAGAACAATGATGTTGGTAACTTAATGGGTATCGCATTGAATATGTAGATTGCCTTTGGTAGGATGGACATTTTAACAATGTTGATTCTTACAATACATGAGCATGAAATATTTTTCCATTCCTTTCTGTCACCTTTGACTTTTTTGAGCAGTGTTTTGTAGTTTTCACCATAAAGAACTTTCATGTCTCTGGTTAGGAAGATGCCAAGGTATTTCTTTCTTTCTTTCTTTCTTTTTATGACTATTGTGAATAGGATTGTGCTTTTTATTTGGTTATCTTCCTGTTTATTGTTGGCATATAAGAATGTGACTATCTTTTGCACATTTATTTTGTACCCTGAGACATTGCCAAAGTCCTTTATCAGTGCAAGGAGGTTTTTGGCAAATTCTCTTGGATTTTCGAGTTATAGGATCACATATTGTCAGCAAAGAGGGATAATGTGACTTTTCTTTTCCTATTTGAATACCCCAATTTCCTTCTCTTGTCTTATTGCTTTAGGTAGGACTTCCAACACTATGTTGAACAAGAGGGTGTGAGTGGGCAGGTATGTCTTGTTCCAGTTTTCAGGGGAAATGCTTCCAATTTCTGTCTGTTTAGCAATATGTTGCCTGTGGGTTTATCATAGATGCCTGTAACTATTTTGCGGTATGTTCCCTCTATGCCTAGGTGTTTGAGGGTTTTTATCAAGAGGAGATATAACCATGCTGTTCATGTTTTTACATCTGTTGATGTATTTAATTACATTTATGGTCTTGTGGATGTTGAACCAGTCCTGCATCCTAGTGATGAAGCCTATTTAGTCATAGTGGATGATTTTTGAGATGTATTGTTGCATCCAATTTGCCAGAATCTTTTTGAGAAGTTTTGCATCTATGTTCGTCAGGAAATTAGCCTGTAGTTCTCTTTCCTTATTGAATTGTTACCTACTTTGTGTATATTGGGTATAAGTGTGATGTTAGTTTCATAAAATAATTTGGGGAGAGTTCTATCTTTTTTAAATTGTCTGAAATAATTTCTTTCTTTCTTTCTTTCTTTTTTGAGGCGTCTCACTCCATTGCTCAGGCTGGAGTGCAATTGCACACTCATGGTCATTGCAACCTTGACCTGCTGGGCTCGGCAATCATTTCACTTCAGCCTTCCAAGTAACTGGAACTACAGGGGCATGCCACTGTACCCGGCTAATTTTTTATTTCTTGTAGAGACAAGATTTCACCAAGTTGCCCAGGCTGGTCTCCAACCCCTGGGCTCAGGCAATCTTCTTGCTACCACCTCCCAAAGTGCTGGAATAACAGTTGTGAGCCACTGCACCCAGGTGGAATACTTTCAGTAAGATTGCTATCAGCTCCTCCTTGTATTTTTTGTAGAATTCCACTGGAAAGCCATCTGGTCCAGGGATTTTTTTTTTTTTTTTTGGTATTTTTCTTTGGACAGAGTCAATATTCTGGGTTGTTATTGATTTATTTAGGTTCTCGATTTCTTCTTGTTTCAAGCTTGGGACGTTGTGTGATATCAAAAAGCCCTCCCCTTTATTTAGATTTTCAAGTTTGTTTCCAGACACGTGTGCATAGTAATCTCTGATAATCTTTTGTGCTTCTTTCGGGTCAGCTGTGACTCAATCTTTTCAAGACTTGATTGTGTTTATTTGGGCTTTTTGTCTCTTTCTTAGTCAATCTGGCCAAGAGGCCCATCATTTTAATTTTTCAAAGTTACAAATTGAGTTTTAAAACAGTACCATTTACCTAATGGCTTTGCATTTATTAAATATATATTTTTGGTTCTATTTTGGAAGCTGCTTAGGAAAATCAGATATTCCATGTTGTAAATAATTTGTATTGGATAAAATATATATTAGTTAAAGATGTTTTTAATTTCCATATTTTTATTTTTTTAAATTTTTTTATTTTAAAGATGTGGGGTACAATTCAGGGTTAGGTATACAAAAGTTCATTATGCAGGTAACCTTGTTAATGAGGTGTGACCCGGTCCCCTGGCAGTTTCTCACTACTGCTAATCCCTTTCTTATGGTATTATAATAATTTTCAAGGTCCACTTATGAGTGAGAATATGTGGTGTTTTCTTTGTGAATATTCCTTATTTCTTAATGTAAATCACTGGCAGGAGAGAGAAAATGTGTTCTCAAGGTACATTTTGTGACATTCATGTTCATGATCTTTATTCTGAGGCAGCTGGCTTCCCAGATGCCCAGCTCTCCTATTACACACTCACCTAATATCAGTCTATTCACCAAATCAATTTCTTCTGCAACTAAAAAGTATTCATTTCTAAAGTGTTCACACTGAGAAAACCATACCTCTTTTCAAAAAAAGGTTTAGAGTTTTAAAAACAGTACCATCTAATAATCACTAAATATACCAAAGAAGTTGCATGTTTAAGTATAATTGATGTCCATTTCACTAACCCTTAACTCTTGCTGACTGGGCTCAGGGACTCACACATATAAGAAATCTCAGGACTTTGGGAGACTGAAGAGGGAGGATGGCTTGAGACTAGGAGTTCAAGACCAGCATGGGCACCATAGTGAGACCCTGTCTCTACAAAAATTAAAGTACTAGCTGAATGGGGTGATTCAGGACCCATAATCCTAGATACTCAGGGGGCTGAGGTGGGATGATCACTTGAACCCAAAAGTTTGAGGTAATAGTGAGCTACACTCCAGCTTGGGTGACAGAAAAAAAATCCTGTTTCAAAACCAAAAAAGAATGGAAAAGAAAAAAGAATGGTGGCTTTATCAGCATGTTGTTTAGTTAGAATGTTCTTCCACAATTCATTCTGGATCCTTGTTTTTAACTTAAATACTTGAAAGTATACACATAAAGCAACCTTGTTTAACATGTTCCTTTTAATGCATGCTGCCTTTTCCATTCAAAATTGAAAACTGTACACTTACATTATACTATATTATTGAAAAAATGAACTTACACATAAAATGAGTATTACTTTAAATTGCTCTTTGATGTCTCTCAGGATGCATGGCTATGTTCTTTGCATCAAAAATCACTGTTTACACACTATTTGCTCTTCTATTTCTGTTACTATAGTAATTTCCATTTCCACGTGTCAGTACTGTCGAAATACTTATTTTAACTGACAATACAAGAACAGCTCACATTTATGGAGCTGTCGGCCATGCTCCATGCTAAGCACTTTGCACGATCACATTTCATCCTCACAACAACCCTCTGAGTAAGGTGCTCTTGTTATCTCCATTTTTCAGCTTGTGAAACAGAGGGTCAGGGAGGTTATGTCCTTTGCCTAAGGCCAACGTACTATGTGGCAAAGCTTGTCTCAGACCATGGGTAACTGACCGAAGTGGCAAGAAACTACTACCTTGATTTTTTGACATAAACGGGTCACCCTGTCTTTGCATGGACCCCACAGGAAAACAGAAGAAGCAGGAAGTACTCATAGAGGAGCTTCAGGCCAAACTGCAGTGGACCCAAGAGAAGCTGGAAGCCCAGAGGGAGGCCGAGAGACAGCGACAGCTCCAGGTGAGCATGAAGAGGAAACGTCAGAGAGACTCGGGTTATGGACTACCTAGGAGACGCTCGATGCACATGACTCTATTGGGCCAACATTCCAGCTGGCTTCCCAGAGCTCGGTGTTAAAGCTAGTGTGGTGCCTTCTTGGACATGACAAATGATTTTGGGTGGTCTGGAAAGGAAAATGGAATTATTACTATTATTTTTGCAGACCTATGTGCACCAAAAGGAGAGAAGAGAGATGTAGTTTCTTGCACTAGTGAGCACCCTCTGAGAGCATTTGAACCCGAATTGTTACTTTTTCTACTGCACTGTTAGGTTTTGGAGGACAAAGGCTAGTTCTGATTCTGAAAACTCCAGAACCCAGCCCAGAGGAAGTGCTCAGTCAATGACTGTAGAATGGAGATAAATGTAGTTTGCTCATTCCTTCATGTATTCGTTAATCACTCATCCCTCAGCATACATTTATTGAGCACCAACTGTGCCAGGTGTTTTGAGGATTACAGGCAGAGCTTGTCTTCTTGTGATTTGCCTTCTTGTGTTTATGAGTTCTGGCCTCAAGAAAGTTCCTCAGTGTCATTTTCTAATGTCATGTGCTCACTCCATGACTCTATGTTCCATTTTGGTAATTCTCACAATGTTTCAAATGGTTTTCTTGCCATTATGTCTGTTATGGTGATCTGTGGTGGTTATCTGTGATGTTACAATTGTAACTGAGTCTACATAACTTTTAGATGCTCTGGAATACCAGAAAATTAATGTGGCTTGCTTTACTGTGATAATCACTATATTTCAATATTTCTTTTGTTTTCATGTTTTGGATCCAAACTTGCAATATCTCCAAGGTATACCTAGGTCAAAAAAGGGAAGCCAAGTCTGTGTCCTCAGGGACTTTACAATTCAGATAAGACTGGTTTGTGCATCTTTCAGTCAAAACAATGCGGAACAAAGGACAGACGTTTTCTGGGACTCCATAGTCACTTGCATGGACAAGGAACCCTCAAAGGCACTTAGAAACATTTTCTATAATGTGAAATTAATGTTAATATTGTTCTCGCTTTTCTCTGTAGGAATCAGAAGTTGCTCGTCAGAGGGAAATTGAGGCTAAAAAGACATTTGAGGATTGGAAGGAAAAAGAGAGAGACAAACTTCATGATGAGCTTAACAAGTTTAAAATATCCTTGAGGGAAAAATTCAAAAGGGTTGCCAATCTCAGCTCTATGCTAGAACAGGTATCCAACACAAAAGGCTCTTCTAAGTTCTTTTGTTGAAAATCTCCTTATTTCTTCTCTAAATGTATTTCTTAATTTGTACAAGATTTATTTCACTTACTGTCGGGAGTTACTATAGTGTGAGACTCTATGTCAATATCTGAGTCCAGTGCCTGGGGTTGAATCACAGCTCTATCACATACTGGCTGTGAGACTGGGGTGAGTTAGTTAAACTCTCTGAGCCTCAGTTTCTTTTCTGTGAGATAGGCTGTTGAAAGAGTCAAATTAGCACATACACAGTCCTCAACATTATCTGGTGTCTGGTCATAACTCCAGATAGCCTTATTTTGGCAAAGAGTTTTCATCATTGGACAAGAAATGAGACGCCATGTAAATGAAAGCATCGCTCTAACAACAAGCATTCTCTGAGTGCTGAGTACATGCCAAACGCTGCGTTGGGTGCTCTGGAGGTCACACCTAATAATTCATATTTAAGCTATAACTGTATTGACAACTTTTTAGCCTCTGTTCAGTGTGCTCTTTGTATCCACTGCCCTCTAAAGTTCATCGTAATCTACCAACCGTAACATTCTCAAAATGGGCTCATCTCTAGTTTATTTTTTATTTTTTTAATTCCTCTCTCTCTCTCTGTCCTCTCTCTCTCTCTCTCTCTCTCTCTCTCTCTCATTCTGTGTCTCTCTCTTCTTTCTCTGTTTCTCTTTTTTAAAGCTGTTATCACTACTTCTTTACAGAGGAAGAAATTGAGGCCACATAACTTGCTCAAGGTCACTCATCTAGGAAAAAGTGAAGCCAGGATTTGAACCTAGCAATTTAAATTCCAAAAGCCCTCTTCTTCTACTGGATACACATATCAAATGCATGTAGAAAAATCCTATTAATGTTATTCCTGGGCTCTATCTTTCTATATGAACCTGTATGACTAAGACTGTGTCAAGGAAAGAGTTCTGAGATAGAATATTTTAAAAATGTGTTCATCTCTCATTGGTCCTTCTAAAGAGAATCTTGTTTTTGACATTGAACTGTGTAAGAGTGTTTCTCATCATCATTCTTTGTTATGCCTGATCACACACCTCAACAGTTTATTTCAAAAGAGGATCTACGTAGGATATGAGTGGGTCTTGTGTGATCCATCATCTCAGTCTGAGATGGAAAGCCAAGGATGGAAGGTGGTGGGATTGAAATGAGAGATCTGTGTATGTGGGTGGGGAGGTGGCAGCAGAGGGGCCCTCTGCAATGACCCAAGCCCTCCCATCCCAAATGCTTCCCAGTTGGTCAGGGGTGATTTGTAGAAGACACAATGGCGTTCTACCATTTCCCTCATGCTCCTAATATCCAGGTCCATACTCATCACTCACAAGCTCATGTCTCTAGACTCCCGCACTTCCTCTCACACAGTGCTGGCTGGCTGAAAGTTTGATACATAGACACTGATTGAATTTAAAGTTGTCATTCAGAAACAACTTCATCAAAGGGTCACTTTTCATTACAAATTAAGTTAGAAAATGAGAGCATAGCCTTTACCATCCATGATTTCCTAATTTAGCTTGGATCCCATTATCCTAAACTGGAACATCATTTTTTGTTTGCTTGTTTTTTATAGTGTTTCTTTCTTCTATAACATTACCTATGCTATGTTTGATGTTTGTGTCTCACCCCTGTCTCACATCATTTTGTTATTTTACATTTATCAAATTATAAGAACAAAACTGGATGCACAATTATCAGTGCAGTAAGATAACATTTTATTAATTCATATTTTAAAATTTCGGGAGCAAAACAGGTAGGATTCCATTTAGAATGACCATGAAAAATCTCTGTAAGATAGTCCATTTTCAAAACACAAGAAAAGATTCTCCTTCACATTAGGAGGGCCAATGAGAGTTAAATACATTATGAAAATAGTTCCCCAAACATTTTCCCTGATACAGAGGGGTGAGTGCTTGCTTTTGGCCACGTTACATGACTGAAGAGAGAACACTAGACTAGCTATGGAGAAAATCCAGATGCTAAAGGAGTCTCTGATGGAAAGAAAAACACCATGAAGGTTTGTTATTGCGAAGGAAGCTAGCTCTACGGAGTGTCATAAGCAGCAGTCTGGAAATGAAAACTGACACAACAGAAAGCCAGTGTTGGGCATTCATGCACTCAAGCATTTGACACTGGGAAAACATTAAGGCATTAAGACATGGCTAATGTTCTAACCCAGTATGGCTTCAGCAGTCATTGAAAAGCGTTAGCCAGAATGAGACCATGTGAAATTCAAGGACTTTCAGTTCCTTAAAGCTTTAATAGGACTTTTGAGTTTTACACAATATAGACATGGAAATATGTTGCTTTTGCTACTGCATAGCAATAAATTTTAAAAATAACATTAGGCAGGCAGAAAGTCATCCTTTCTTGGATCCAATTTTCCTTTTCCTTCAGGTCACATACTGCTAGCTCAGGAATCACCAAGTATTGGTGACACAGCTCCAAGCCGTGCAAAGCCATCTCTTCCTTGGGGCAGCCAGAATGTTTTATGAGGGGAGGGGTGGGAGTCCTCAGGGAGTGATCTGGGGTGTCTGAGACACTCCCATAGGCTCTGAGTCTATTCCTCTTCAACTGATTCCAGACTGGAAGAAATGGGGCAGCAGGTGGGCAATGTTGAGTTTTAAGTGTAGTAGAATTTCAGTGAAATGAAACTCTTTCATTCAGTTCTTCCATGGACCTTGTTTTTTCCTATGGAAGGGCTGAGCCTTAAAGAGAGTCCTAGTAAAAGGGATTGCTGAAGTGTGTGAATCTTTTCAGGTGTGTGGGTATCTAGTAAGGACCAGTTGGGTGTTCATGGTAGTTGAGTAAGGTGTGCTCCACTGACCATATTCAAGATATAAAAGGTAACATCATGATTAGATTTTCATCTACAAAAAATGATGCCCTGGCCTTTCAGAAAATGCGTGCACTGGAGTCCCACCATTCCATCGAATCCAGTTTCGTATTGTTGATGGAGAAGATATGTGAGGAGCGAATCCAAAGTATACAGGAGACCACAGCCTTGAGAGACAAGTTGACACTCCAGGTGAGGTGCCCTGTGCCTTTATTACCACAGCAAGCCAAGAACCTTCTTCTCTTCCAAGTTTTCCATGAATTTAGGGAAGTTGAACTATAGCAATGATCTTTAATTTCAGGCTTTCTGTGAAACTATGGAGAGTGTAAAATGAGCATCCCAGGAGTGGTGGGAGATGTGTGTGCATATCAGATTGGCCTAAGATCTTTTAAAAACTACAAACAGTTGTGTCTCTTTCCTAACACCTTTCCCTTCACTTTGATTCTTGCCCACTTAAAACAACTCTTAAAAAGTCTGATTCTTACAAAGTGTGAATGGATTTAAGGATATTTGGGACTGATCCAGTACTATGATGGTCAATGTTTAGCAACCAGCTCTCTGAACTAAAAAAAAGCTTTAAATGGAAGCACTGGTAAATTTCTGTGGTGTAAATACTCCCACTATGGCTGGTTTCATGCAGTCAGTGTGAAGTCACCTAATGGAGTTGGGAAGACATGTGCAAAGTCTGCTCTCACAGGCTGGTAGATGATGACTCTGGCCACCACTGGATGAATCTTGCTCCAGTGTCTTTAGGATGGCCTATACCACTGATAATTCCATGACAAGGAAGGCAATTGGCACAGGCATTCAGTCGTGTTCTGCTTCTGTGTCATCTCTACACAAATATTGAGAAAGAGCTTGCAATCCTCCAGACAGCAGGAGTGTTTCTGCTGATTGTTGTTTCCCACGTTTCCTATTATAGAAAAGTCATTCTTTTCCCTGTAACTCTGTTTACCTTCCTGGCTTGTTTTTCTATTACTGATGTTTTCCTTACTACAGTGTGAGCTTGTATAATGCATGGAAATCAACCCAGCCATTCCTTGCTCTGGTTGTGATTGTTTGTATTCTGTTGAACCTCTAAAATTTTATCATGATTTGGCTATGTAGAAATGAGTCATGTTTATGGGGTCAATTTTATTACGTTATCATTCTTTTCTTTATGACCATAGCAATCTCAGACCTGAAAAGGAAACGGTCCTATGTATGTAGTACTTTTTTTGTTTTGCTTTATTTTGCTTCGCTTAGCCTTTTGTTTTGTTTTGTCTTGTTTTGTTTTGTTTGAATCAGAGTCTCACTCTTTCTCCCAGGCTGGAGAGCAGTGGCATGCTCACAGTCATCCCAGTGTTGACCTGCTGGGCCCAGGCAATCCTTCCACCTCAGCCTTCCAAGTAGCATGAACTACAGGTGTGTGCTACCACTCCCGGCCAATTTTTGTGATGTATTGTAGAGACAAGATCTCACCAAGTTTCCCAGGCTGGTCTCAAACCTCTGGGCTCAGACAGTTTGTACTACTTTATGACCTAAGAATTTTTTTTTTTTTTTGGCTTAACAAATTAAACACAGATCCAGGTCCTTATTTTTCTACCATGCAGCTTATTACTTGTTCTAAGACCATTAGTCAATAATCTTCCTCTCTCTTTCTACACCAACCAAGATTCCAATTTTTTCATCTTTGTTAGGGTTGTTGATTCTGTTCCATTACTTTGTCTGCCTTATCATGATCCAGTACATGTTAATTTCTGTAGCATTATCATATGTCTTAATATTGGGGGGATGCATTTGACAGCATTTAATCATTTTGAGAACCCCGAGAGGAAAAAAAAACAGAACTGCGTCAAGATCATGCAACTAAGAATGGAGAGGTGGATCTTGTCAGGTGGTCTGAGGGAGCTTGGTTTCCTGTGATCATCACTTATAATTCAGCATCCTCCCTTCACTCCCTACACCTGTTGGCAGGTATTATGTTGCCTGAAACTGGTTGGCAGGTATTATGTTGCCAATAATGTTCCTGGATGCTGACCCCCATCAGTTCTCAGAAGGAGTCAGCTGTCCATCCAGGGCCTGCATTCCATTCTCACTTCTTCTCAGGCACAGCTCAAGAATGTACCCAAACTGGAAGATCATTAGCCTTGTTAGAGAGCTACCTGCCAGCCTGGCACAGGGGCTCACACCTGTAATCCCAGCACTTTATGAGACTGAGACATGAGGATTGCTTGAACACAGGAGTTGGAGACCAGCCTAGGCAACATAGCAAGACTTCATTTCCACCAAAAAAAAGTATCCAAGCATGGTGGTACGTGCCTGTAGACCTAGCTGCTTGAAAGGCTGGGGCAGAAGGATAACCTGAGCCCAGGAGATCAAGTCTGTGGTGAGCTGTAATCATGCCACTGCATTCCAACCTGCCACCTGCCCAAAGTAGAAACCCTTCCCTTGTTTCAGGTGAAACCCTTAATCATCATTTGCCTCCATGTGCTGGCCTTGCTGACACCGGGCATTCACTGGGTTCCCCTATAGATATCTGACTGGCCATCCATCCTCTATCCAACAGGTTCAGAATGAGATTCAGAGGCAGACTTCCCTCTTAGATTATAGAAAGTCAGTTGCTCAACTGGAACACGAGATCTCCTTCCTTCAAGACCAGATTCAGAGACAAGAAAGGTTCATGGCCTCCCCAGGGCTCCCAGAAGATGATGGTAGGTTTGTTCCTTCTTTCAGCCAGGACTCTTCCCAGAGAGAATCTCCGTGAAATATTCAGAGTTCATCGGTGCTAGTCTTATTTCTCAAGCATCTGAAGACGAGAGCAGTCCTCCAGTGTGTGTGTGGGGTATAAAGTGATGAATATACAGCTGTCTTCTTCCATGCTGAAGATGAGCCATCTTGCTTAGGGGCTGCAATAGATGGGGTCACTCTAACAGCAGAAAACACATAAAGTGCCCCGCCACTCTTTGACCCTTGACTCATCACCCTACTTAAGCATCCCTACTACCCTTCAAGGTAGGCTTTCCATTCTCTCCACTGCAGGATAGGTATGCATGTGCATGTGCTGGTTTTATTTTATCTGAAATATTTTCTGATGGAAAATACATTCATATTTGTTCCAAAAGCAGAAGTACTTTAAGGTCACTGAGTATAGTCTTCACTTTCCCCTAACCGCATCTACCCATCCCTAACACTCACCATCCCAGATATAATTTTTATTAATTTCTACTGTATTCTGCTAGATTTCCTTATGCCAATAGTAATAGATAGTTTCATTTCATCTCTGCTCTTACATCAGTGGGAGCGTGTTAACATATTTTATTCACTTCTGGTTTTACCTAAAAACAGTAACTGAATGATTTTTGAATGGTCTCCATTTACTTGATTGTCCTCAGGTAAATTGGCTCTCGGCTAGACGGATAGTCACATCTAGCCAAGAGCCCATTCTCTCATGGTCATGCACTCCATATGTACATTTACATACATTACTTACTTACTTTACTTTACATTTTAGGAACAGCTCAAAAATATCCCCAAATTGGAAATTATTTAGTTTAATTAAAAAGCCACTGCCTAGGTGTAAAAATCCTTTTTCCTGCTTTCAGCAAAACCCCTGACCAGCATTTTCCTTCAGATTCTGGTCCTGCAGACCCTGACACCCAGAGGTCCCTGCAGATATTTGACTGATCACCCATGCTGTGCCCAACAGTTGCAGAGCGAGATCCAGAGTCTCCAGGCCTCCCTGCAAGAGAACCAGAGGCAGGCAGTTGCCCAGAATGAGCTGATCAACACCCTCCAAGCTAATCTGCAGCAACAAACCAGGCTCATCAACTCCTTAAAAAGGAAGGTAGGTCTGTTTCTCCTTTCTGTCAGACCTTGGTGTCTCCCGTGCTCTTTCCTGAGAGGATTTCCATGGATTCTTCAGGGTTCATTGGTGCTATTCTTATTACTCAGCCTCCGTAAGGAGAGAGGTGTCTCCTAGCATGAGTGGCACAAAGTGATAAGGATGTGCTTCTTCTTCCAGGCTGAAGAAGCACCATGTGGCTTAGTGGCTGCTGGCATACACGGTCACTGTCACAGCAGAGACCACAGAGTACCCAACACCTCTGCTGCTTTACTCATCACCTAACTTAAGCCTTCCTACCTCCTCCAAAGTAGGCTTCCCTTTCTCCTCAGCTTCATTTGAAAGATGATGAAATAGGTGGGAGAATTTCGATGACTTGCTCGAGTGTACCTGGGGCTTTACATAAGTGATAGGTGAGAGTCAACCCTAGGCAGGCAGCTGGAGCACAAAGTTTGTACTCTAACCAAGTCTCAGCCATAATTTGGCTTTTTTTTAAATTTTGTTTTGCTTTTAATCTTTTTTTAATAGTTTTCTGGTGGACACAAATAATTTTTGTCTGGGCTTTAAGTGTACTCATCATCCTCACCTGTGTCCTTGTACCTGTAGATGATTTTTTGACCCTCCACCCATTCACACTTCCCTTTTCGGCATTTCCAGTGGCCTTTACATCATTATCTAGGTCTTTGCCTGTCCTTAGTTTAGCTCCAACTTATAAGTGAGAACATGCAGTGTTTGGTTTTCTGTTTTTGAGTTAGTTCACTTAGGATAATGTTCTGCAATTCCATCCAAGTTGCTGCAAAAGACATTCTTTCAATCGCTTTGATAGCCAAATCATTTTATGGTGTATATAGACCACATTTTCATTATCAACTGATAAGTTGGTGGGCATTTAAGTTGATTACACATCTTTGCTATTGTGAATTGTGTTGCAATAAACATGTGGTGCAGGTGTCTTTTTTATGTAATGAGCTCTGTTTCTTTGGATAGATACCTGGTAGTTGGATTGTAGGATAAACTAGTAGATTTAGTTGACTGAGAAATCTCCATATTAATTTTCATAGAGATTGTACTAATTTATACTTCCACCAACAGTGTATAAACATTCCCTTTTCTCTGCATTGATGTCAGTATCTAATGTTTTTTGATTTTTTATAAATGGCAGTCCTTACTGGTGTAATATGGTATTTTGGTGTGGTTTTAATTTGAATTTCCTGATGATTAGTGACTGAGTATTTTTTATATGTTTGTTGACTACTTGCATATCTTCTTTTGAGAGATATCTGTTCATGTTATTTGCTCACTTCTCAATGGGGATATTTGCTTTTTCCTTGCTGATTTGAGT